AACTAAATTTCTAAAATATCCCATAGGTTGCCTTCTATGACTATACAAACGTCCCACACTCGTCCTTTCACATCCAACGATGGGGCTTCTCACCAAAACAATGGTAAAATAGTAACATCTAAAGGAAAAGAAAATGAACAAGAAAGACATTTGAGTAGGTAGATTGCTCCTAATTACTTGATCTATTTTAAAACAAACATCCTTGATATTTTCAAAACAATCACATACACTTTCAAACATTTTACAAAATAGAAAACATTTTCAAAAGATCAACATCTTTGTATACATTCTTACGAACGAAAATCATTACAAAGATTGCCTAAATGATGGCCTCTTTACAAAATACTTTCAAAAACCACACAAAGCACAAATTCAAACAAAAGCAAGTGATCTGGAAAGTAACTAAGAGCCCATGGAAAACCATGGATGAAAAGGATGCTAATACCTTCCCTTTTCATAATCTACCCCTCGAACTCAAGAAATAATCTCAAAGGTCTTTCCTGTGCTTTTTCACCTTTCCTTTTGGATAAAAGAAAAGTCGATGGCGACTCTTGCTATCCACAACATTTGCAATCAAACGCAAAACCCTTAAGTCAGTTCTCCCACCGTATCACAGACACCAAAAACATTTTGGTCTTAAAATCTCCTTTGTCGAAGAACTATACGTTTAAGACTATGATCAATTCGACTGTAGTACCCTATATAAAAACTGTTGTTGATCATAAAGATAGTTGGTTGTGGCATTTGAGGTTTGGACATTTGAATTGTCGATCACTCAATCAACTGATTACTCAAGATATGATATTTGGTATCTCAAGTCTTGAGATGCTTGACAAACTCTGTGAAGGTTATTTAGTCAGAAAGCAATCCAAAAACTCTTTTGTTTCGACTATGCCAATGATATAATCATGCATACTTGAAGTGGTACATTCATATGTATGTGGTCCATTCGAAGAACATACCATTGGTGGAAACATATATTTTATTTCATTTGTCAATGAGTTTAGTCGAAAGTTGTGGATCTTTGTGATCAAGATAAAAGACAAAGTATTCAAAATATTTAAGAAGTTCAAGATACTTGTCGAAAACCAAAATGATAAGAGGATCAAAGTTCTGCAAACAGATGGGGTGGCGTATACACATCCAAGATATTTGAAGATTTCTATGAAAAACATGGTGTCGATCATGAGGTAACTAGTCTTTATACACCTCAACATAATGGAATTGCATAAAAGGAAACAGAACCATATTGGATATGGCGAGATGCATGCTGAAGCAAAAGAATTTGACAAAATCCTTATGGGGTGAAGCTTTTTCGACTGCAGTTTATATTTTGAACAGGTGCCTTACCAAGATATTGAAGAACAAAGTTACTGAAGAAATATTGAGTGGTAAACGACCATCAATGTGTCATTTGAATGTGTTTGGCTCTATGTGTTACAAGCATGTTCCTAATGCGACAAGAAGGGAATTTTATGACAAGAGTGAACCTATGATTATGGTAGGATATGATACAACATGTGCATACATGCTATTTAATCCAGTTACTGAGAAGATTGTGCTGAGTCGAGATATTGTGATTGGTGAAAATTATGCTTGGGATTTGAATTCTAGTAATTCAATTAACAAGCCATTGATGAGCTCTAATTTTGTTGAAGAAACTGATGAAGTCGAAGTCGAAGGAATTACTGAGAATCCAGTCGAAGTCGAAGATGAAGTTGTTGCTGACATTCCTGACACAATCGAAGTCAAAGAGGTTGTGACTGAATCAAGCCAAAGACCTCAAAGAAATGGAGTTCTTCCAACAAGACTTCATGAATATGAAGTAGCAGGTGATGATGAAGTCACATCAAATAGAGAATTAGTTCATTTTGCTTTACTTGCAAGTGTTGAATCAATCAATCATAACGAAGCTTTAAATATTAAACAGTGGAATTTAGCCATGGTCAAAGAGTTACAGGAAATCAAAATAAATAATACATCGGAGTTAGTCGAATTTTCAGCACATACAAAAGCTATTCAAGTGAGGTAGGTGTTCAAGTTAAAACACAATGCTGATGGGTCGATAGCAAGACATAAAGCAAGATTAATATCTCGAGGATTTCTTCAACGAGAAGGACTCGACTACTCTGAAGTATTTTCTCCAGTAGTAAGATTGGAGATTATTCTACTAGTGGTAGCATTGGCATATAACCAAGGCTGGTCGACATTTCATTTAGATGTGAAATCAGCATTTCTGAATGGTGCTTTAGACGAAGAGGTCTATGTCACATAACCACCAGGATTTTTGATTCAGAAGGAAGCAGGTAAAATATATAAGTTGCACAAAGCTCTTTATGGCTTCAAGCAGGCACCTAGAGCATGGAACAAGAAGATCGACTCATACTTAGTCGAGTCGGGATTTGTCAAATACAAATCTGAGTATGGTGTCTATGTTCAGGTTGTAGCACAAGATATAACAATCATCTTCTTATATGTCGATGACTTGTTAGTAATTGGAAACAACTTGGAGAACTTGTAGAAGTTCAAAGAGCTGATGATGAAGGAATTTGAAATGTAGGATTTAGGAAAATTGTCTTATTTTCTGGGCATGAAATTTCAAATGTCGAAGCAAGGTATGATGCTACATAATTGGGAAGTATGTCAAAGAGATACTCAAGAGATTCAAAATAGATGATTTGAATCCTGCATCCTCACTTGTAGAACCAAATGTAAAGTTGGAGAAGAATGGAGAGGAAGAAAAAGTCGATGTAACTTTGTTCAAGAAAATCATGGGATCTCTGAGGTATGTGTGTAACAGTTGATCTGATATAGGTTTCATTGTCGGATTAGTAAGCAAATATATGAGTGAACCAAAAGTGTCACATATGAAGGCTGAAAGTAGAATTCTGAGATATTTGAAGGGTTCGATAAACTATGGAATACTATTTCGAAGAGATTTTGAAGGCAAATAAGCAATAGTTAATTGTTTTTCAGATGTTGATTGGTGTGGAGATAAGGAAGATCGAAGAAGCACAATTGGATATTTATTTCAAGTATTTGGCGTCCCAATCTCACGGTGTTCGAAGAAGCAACCTGTGCTGACATTGTCATCGTGTGAAGCTGAATATATAGCAGGATCCTATGATGCATGTCAAGTAATTTGGATCAAATATGTACTTGAAGAAATGGAGGTCGAAGTGAAGAAACCTCTAGTGTTGCAAATCGACAACAAGTCAGCCATAAATCTGATGAAGAATCTAGTTCTGCATGGAAGAAGTAAGCATATCGAAGCTAGATTTCACTTCTTGAGAGAAAAGGTAAATCGAGATGAACTTGAAGTTAGGCATTGCTCAAGTGAAGCACAGTTAACTGACATTTTCACCAAAGGATTGAAGATCGACATATCCCTGAATTTAAGAAAGAAATTAGGAATAGTTCAGATCGACTATGATTAGCATAGGTTCGACGACTTAGATTATATGGGTGTGTTGAAATATTAGATTTGATTTGATTAGATTTAATATTTAAATATAATTCAAGTCCAGTTAGTCCTAGTCCAATTATAGTTGTATATAAATAGTCATAAGACTATATCATTATTTGTAACAAGTGAATAATATAATCCTTATTTCATTTATTATTCTCTCTTTTCTCTCCTCACTAAAAGTGTCTCACGCACTAACAAATTATGTAGATATTATTATCCAAAGAAGATAATTGTGGAGGTTATATTTGTTACAATTTTCAAAAGTTGTGTAGCAGTTTTAAAACTCTTAAATTTTGAAAGGAACATATAGTATGTAATGAGCAATCCCTTCATAAAAAATTGTGAAAATAACTTGGGCCAACCTAAACTCTTATTTGAAGAATCCTTTCATGAAAAATGACTCCCCGCTACACATGCTATTGACTTATCCTTTCAACTCTATAAAAAAATCAGAGTCTTTATAAGAACCCTGCTTTACAACCAAAAAACATAACCTTACTTTCTCAATTTTCTACCTTGTTTCAACAACCTACTTCCTAACCCCCGCAACACGATCAATTGACCACCATATTCCTCTTCATTAGTCTTACTCACGAAAAAGAAAGGCGGTTCATAGCAGTTTTGCGTCAACTACATAGCTCCAAAGCCACATTATATTCAAGGATATGTTCCAGAATTCTCTACTATTGAAGAATTATTATATGAATTTATCAAACCAAGTGGTTTTCCAAATTGGATCTTAGTTTTGGCTACCACCATATTCGTATGAGCCAAAATGACATTAATGAGACAACATTTCGAACACATCCTCGGCATGCAATTTGGCTTATCAAATGCTCTGTCAACCTTTTAGGAAAGTATGTATGAATTATATATATATCTTATTTACAAAAGTTTGTCACTCTCTTTTTTGACGACATTTTGGTGTTTAACGGCTGGTTTGAAGATCATTTACGACACTTGGAGTTGGTTTTTCAGTGTTTTGTCAAGAGGACTAAGTGTAACTTTTATCAATCCACATTTCTTATTTGGGTCACGTAGTGTCGGAACATGGTGTTGTCCTTATCGAATTTCAATGAAGAGCTCAATGAGAACTATATAGATAAAATGTGATCGAAAATTAACATATTAAATTGCGTATTAAAATGTAAGAATATACTGTAGTATTGAAACACCTTTCTGTTTTCATCTACAGATTGCATATTGAGTTATGGTTTTCAAGAGCAAGCCTTTCAATTTCTAACATTCAAATAGATGCATTGTGTGCATTAGGGCAAAATATTGAACGAATCCAAATAAGAACCAGTTTAAAACTAATTTGTTTATGAGAAAATGATCATTCAAGTAACTTAAACTATCTTATTACTTGTAATAAAAATAAGGAAAATAAACTCATTTGATTCAAAGATAGCCAAATCGTTTACAATAGCCAATAACATAATCTGAATCTCTCAACAATACAATCAAATCAAAATCATGATAAGACAACATATATTATTAACCAAATTCAGACAATGTAGGAAACTTACTTTCAACAATACCAAACCAAACTTTCAACATAATTCTTGGAATTGAACTGCCAACATTTATTGATTGCCTTAGCTCTATTATCTCTCCAAGTATAGATAATCATCTGACTTTGATATTTGTCTATCAACAACAGTGTATCATTCTTCTCCAAAAGGCATAATGGCAACCGCGGAAAAAGATCATATATTTGAAGATTATTATAACTAATTTTGAGGATTTGAGTCCAAGAGTCTTCAACTCTAAACTCCTTCATTTGCCATATAACAAGATGAGTTAGTCTGAAATCACAAGAAAAACAAAGACAATCATTTAACATACTTAGATTTGGATCGATCATTGACCCGTCATCAAAATCTTGAGGGGGTAGAAATTGAGTATGTGTCTCTGTGCTCAAATCAAGTGAAATAATTGTCCTTTTGCCGGTGTGATTGTCGACTGCCAACCAAATGAAGCTACCACTAAAAGTAACAACATTCCTCATGGCATCATGATCCAGAGGAGAATTTTGAATATTTCTCCAAACATTATGGCCCAAACTAAAAACTCTCACATCTGTTCTCCTTGAAAGGAAACAAGCGACCTTATAAGTGTCGGTTGAATCATCGTAAGCAAATTCCAAATTAGGAGGATAACGGAAGTCGTATTGGCTAAAATATCCTATTTTATCTGATATATTTCTAGTGGCAGGATTCCAAAAACGAAGATACTTACAGGTATTCCCAATGATGTGAGAATCACCTAACAAGCAGAGCAAACCATTGCAGGAACCAACCATATAGAGGTTGTCCTTATCATTCAACTGATGGTAATGACCATTGGTAACAGTGGTAGTGGTTGGAGGATTCTCCAACAAATGAAAAGTTGTGAAAGATATCTCACCCAAGGAAGAAGATACAATTGTGAAGTCCACATTTCGTTCAGATCGACTAAGGTGTCGTTTGACAAAGGTGGGATCAGAGATGAGTGACTTCCATGACTTATTGACGCATTTCAGTCTAACAAGTGATTTGACAGGAAGAAAGGGAAGAACTTCGGCGACAAGTTCTTCGGGGAGGAATACCGGCGACGGTGAGACCTTGCGAGGACGGAGATTCATGTGAAAGTTTAGAAAATTGGCAGCTAAAAAGTTGAACCCTAAAAAAGGAATGAATTAAAAAATATAGGTATCGTGGCTTTACTCATAGTATTATTAGTTGCTATTTTTTTGGCTTAACTATAGCATTGTTGAAACAAATACCCTAGCAAATACGCAGATAACTAATTAACTAATTCAAAGCAATTCTATATTCAAATTCAAATTATTTTTCACTGTTCACTTGTTTCAAATTTCACTTTATTCTACCTCCTATAGTCGGTATTTTTCTTATTTTTCATCTTCTCTCATGTTCTTTCATTTTAATTTTAATATTCTCTCATTCAACTTTTTTTTAACCACTGCTGTTTTTTTTTTCTAGGAGAAAGGGGAACCTTCCAAACTTCTCATGTGAAAAAATATCCTATCATCATCTCTCATATATTATATATATTTATTTATTAATTTATTCTTATAAAATAAATATATATATTTTTCTTATAATAGAGAATGTCTAAACCCAGAAGAAAAAAATTACATCGGTATGACATAATATCTTTAAGACTTAAGAGATAAATCAAATGTGTATTTCAATTTTGCTAGCGCATTTGCACACTGATTTGTCTCATGGAAAACATGAATAATATCTATTTTCTAATTCCTATTCATTCAAGCTCTAATTTGATTCACTAGCGAGTAACCACAAAACAATTTTATTCGCCCTGTTTTAATCGCATTTACGACCATTATCGAATCTGAATTAATCTCAACAATCCTGAATCTCATCTTCCATGCTAACCTTATCCCTTCAACCCCCCCCCCCCCCCCCCCCCCCCCCCCCCTAATTTTGTCTCAAAAACACTGCATCTCTCAATACCACGAGCAAAACCACCAAACCACTTTCCTTGACTTGCCCTAATAACGTCTCCACATCTCGCAATAATATCCTCCTTACAAGCAACATTTGTGTTTAATTTAGCATATTTTAAAATAGATGGAATCCATTGTATCATTCTCAACACATGATCGTGTTCCATTACAATTTTATTTGCTACCACCGCTTTATCATAATCATCTTTAAGCTGTATGATAAACAAAATTGGATTCATAGGCCGCACAAAATTATCCTCATGTAATTCTTTATTTCTCCAAATCCAAACACAATGAAAAGCAATAGCTCAAACATCACTCCAACACCGTCCTTCTCTCCATCTTTCGTTACTTGTGATAAAAACAAGGAAAATAAATTCATTTGATTCAAAGATAGCCAAACCGTTTACAATAGCCAATAACATAATCTGAATCTCTCAACAATACAATCAAATCAAAATCATGATAACACAACATATATTATTAACCAAACTCAAACAATGTAGGAAACTTACTTTCAACAATACCAAACCAAACTTTCAACATAATTCTTGGAATTGAACTGCCATCTTTTATTGATTGTTTTAGCTCTATTATCTCTCCAATTATAGATAATTATCTGACTTTGATATTTTTCTATCAATAACAGTGTATCATTCTTCTCACTATGTCAAACAAGCACATAAACAATGTTTTTTTGGCCATAGACATCGCTTTAAAGCTGTCTAAACCAGCGCTGCTACAAGTAAATACAATGCTTTAGATTAATGTAAAAGCGCTGTTATATGTCCCCTTTAGGCAGCGCTTTTACTTTAATAGTGCTTTCACTTTAAAAGCACTTTCTTATGCACCCCTTTAGCAGCGCTTTTACTTTAATAGTGCTTTTACTTTAAAAGCGCTTTCTTATGCACCCCTTTAGCAGCGCTTTCCCTTTTGAAGTGTTTTCTTATGTACCCCTTTAGCAACACTTTCTCTTTAGACAACGCTTTTGGTTATCTTTTACGCATCGCTTTAGACAACGCTTTTCTTTAAAAGCGTTGTCTTTTCCCAACTTTAGGCAGCGCTTTCCCATTTTAGGCGGCGCTTTTCCCCACTTTAGGCAACATTTTTCCCCACTTTAGACAGCGCTTTCTCATTAAGTGTTGTCTAATGTTCACAAATTTTTTTAAATATTAGACTTATTTTCACTTACAGAAAGCACTGCCTAATATCTATAATAAATTTTCACCAGATTTTCACCATATTTTGCACCAGGTTTTCACCATATTTTACACCAGATTTGGTAGCTTCAATCCAATATAAATGCACCAAATTTGCATATACAAAAAACCTACATATATAATTGATGATATATACAATAATAACTTAATTGATGATACAACTTGAAAATTCTAAAATTCTAACTTGATGTTTAATCTACATATTACTATCTTCGAGAATTTCTAAAAAACAACAACAATGAACTTCTTAGCTCTATCTTTTACATCTGCACCTATAACCTGAAACAAAACCAAAAGATCAAAATTCATACCATGATAAAACAAAAATTTATTCGAATTTATACTCAAAACTCGAAAGTTATACTCAAAATTCTCATCAATGAAAGAAAGACAATATACCTTATAAAATTCTCAACTCCATAATGAATTGACACCATTCCTCCATAAGTTCATCCAATTGATCTTTTGAGTAATAAGCACAATTGAATTTGTCAAAATACTACATAATAATATAACATAGTATGTGATTTAGTTAAAACATTATGCCATTTTATGAGAAATATTAAAATAATTTCTAAGTTAGAAATCCATACCGTGGATGGAATCTCTATTCGGTCCAAAAGAAGCGTTTCTTTCATAAACCTCAATATGAAATAACCGCAATCTATATCATTACGTTGATGAGGATACTACACATAGAAAGAAAATACCGATATATATCAAAATATACCCCTTAACTTATTTTATCAAGTATCATCACTAATATAATCAAAATTGTGAAAGTATACATGCACTCTGATCCACGTAATGTTGTTGGCTCTACTCTTTGGTACTTGAATACCTCTTTGTGATCGAAAATCTTGTAGAACTCTATAATAAAATATAAATGACTATTTAGAACAATATCACATAGATAAATAAATATACACACGAATATTTAGATTAATCTCACTTACGTATCAATCATCTTCTTCAAATCTGGGTGTGTTGTCCAATCATTGTATAACGAATTCAGATAGTATATAATTTCTGCTACAGGATTAATTGCAAGCAACAACCAATGTCCACTGTAAGATAAAACAAATGTTAGATGGAAAGTTTCTACACAACGTCAAAAAATGAAAAATTATAATAGATGAAGTTAGGATGAAAATCTAACTCGTGGCCAATATTATATGGTAAAAAGAACAACTTTTTTGTATCTTTGCGGGTCAGAAATAAACCGAGTACATACGATATGACATTATCTGGTTTTGTTAGGATTAACCCTATGTTGACGGTGTTGGGAGCTAAGAAAGCGAATCTTTCTTCCAATCCACGTGGGCGTATCACTTTGTCATACAAAAACCTTAAATAAAAACATCATTAAAATTAGACTATCTTCGTTTAAATGAGTAAATAAATTATTTATTTAATTAAACAAAGTTGGTCGGAGTATACCTAATATATGTATCGATAACACCGACGCCTAAAGTCAAATGTTGAAAAACTTGATCCATATCTTCTCTACCAATTTCTTTCATGTATTCATAACCAAAAATGTCTACCGGCATATGTATAAGACGTGTACTACCAATTGGAATATATGTTATTCTTATATATGTTTAAAGGCACGACCTATACTGAGAAGTAGGTTTTTTGCTAGCCGTGGCCTTCTTACCCCTACTGACTTGTTCAATCTCTTTAGCATGCATCTAAATATCATATAATTAGTTAGGTGAAGTATAAGATCATTCTATGCATAAATATTATATAATTGTGTTATACCTCTTTTTTTGATGCAACTAACTCAGTTTTCCGCATCATCCCCTTATCTTTTAATTTGGGTTTTGTAGGAGTCTAACATTACCATGTAAAAAATTACGTAAAATGCTCGTAAACACTTTGAATACTCAAAGGTTCATAATGGTTTTAAGCATACCTCATCATCTACACGAGTGAGGCTTGGCGACCATGCAACATATGCACCTACTGCCTCTCCCACCAATGTTGCATCCGAAACATCGTTTGGTATTGGTAATAATGCACCCCCCCCCCTCTAAAGCAATATCAATTGATACCTTCAAATATCCATTAGGGAGCGGTTTATGGTGAAGTACTTCTCCCAAAATATTATGCACTTTCCCCTTGCCAACCATTTGATAAGTCGATGACGATAAATAGAGTTGACATGGTGAAATGCCCTAAAATCAATAATAAATATGACATTGTTAATGTGTGTGTGTGTATATATATATATATATATATATATATATATATATATATATATATATATATATATATATGTCAATTAAATAAATTACACTAATTTAATTTCATAATGATATATATAATTACCTCGGGAATATTCAGTTGAACATTACAATTGACACTAGCTTTGTCGCTGTTGTACCCCCAAATTTACCCTATCACTTATCAAGAATTTGCTCACAAGATCTCCTTAGCTCAAGACTACACTAGGGTTTGATCAGCTTAAGACACCTCCTTAAGCACTAATGACCAAAATTAGGGTTTGAGTTTGCACAAGGATTTTTGAACTTCCAATGCCCCATATGACTTTCATGGATCATTATGGACCCCAAAGATCACTCATGTCAAGTTTCAAGCCTTGGATCACACTTTTGCTCATCCAATTGGGCAGTTGACCTAAAAATCAATTGTATTGGGGGAAAAGTCAACTATGGCCAATTTACAGTCAAACTTCATAATTTTTTATCCACATCAACATTTTAAACTCATATGTATCATTTGATCAAGTTTGGACCATAATTCCTCAAAAAATTTAATCAAATCTCCAAAAGGGCAAAATGGTCAAAATTAGGGTTTTCATTGGGAAAGGGCAATTTCTGATTTTTGACCTAGCAAATGGTCAATTGGTTTAAGGCGTGATCTAAAGAGTCCAATTTAATCATTTTTACCTAATGACATGGTTCA